TCAAGTAGAGCTATGAAATTCAATTCAATTTATCTTTATACAGTAGCAACCCATTCATCATCCCAGGGCCCTTATCTGCTTATGGAGTATGTCATCAGTTACCGCTACAACTCTCTTTCTGCTTACTGCGTCATACTTTTGGCCCAAAGTATGTCAAGTATTAGAAAGCACTACACTAGACCTTCTCAGAATTCTGCATGCTTGCTGCAAATGACATTTAACAACATGTAATAGGCTGATTAAGCTGGCATTTTTGTACGCTCTAATTCTAGACTAGTGCTAATGGCGAGAACAGGCCTACTATATTTGCATACACTTAGAAAACATTAAATTACTGCTTTACTCTGAGTACACACTAGACAATTATTGTGGTCGTTCAAGACCAGCAAAGAAACTAGCTATGACCACTCCGTTGTGTATATGTTTCTTTTCTTTTGTTGTTTTAATGATTGTACAATTTCAAACTCCATTTTGTTACTAATGAATAGATTCTGATACCATAATGATGATTAAAAACACTCTTTATTTGGGCAATAGAATGTGATAGTGCTTTTTTTTTAATTACCCCCTGGTGTTACATCTGTGTAATCCCTCAGTCCTCAGGTAGGGTCCATAGTGGTCCATGTGCGTATACTAGTCTATGTGATATTATAGTTGTTCTGATACAGCTCAAAATCATTCTAAAGCTATTCAGGAAAGGTTCATTTCTGTCCTGTGAATGTGACCTTTTTAGTATTGACACTTACTCAAATGAGTATCGTGTTTCAATTAGTTAAAGCATCGATTAGTATCAGATTTTCAATACTTACGACAACCCTACTAAAATTAAAAGTAAAGCTACCAGACAAGGAAATGCGCAAAGCATTATAAAGCTCAAATATAGGCTATCCACCGAGAAATGGTTTATTTTATGTCTTTGTTGAGAATGGAACAGTGTGACTGACAGTGCTCTGCAGCAGTTAGCATCTGTTTATAGACTTATCTGTTGTTTCTATTCAGTGTATGAAAGAAATTGTATCACAACACCATGAAAAATAACAGAATTAAATGTTTATAACAAAAAATGAAAAAACAAAAAACTCATAAAATAATATGTTTGGCTTGTTCTTGCCTCATATCAGACCTAGTATTGATACTTTGCAGCTGATGTCATCAATTTTCACTGGTGGTGTGATGCTATCTGTAAGCTCTGCTCTGTCTGAGGACTTATTAAGCTTTATCTATCTGATCTTTATTTTAACAAGCAAGGCAAGGCAAGCTTATTTGTGTTGTTAAACAGACTCTTATCTGAAAATCAAGCTCCTAAAGAGGACCACGAATGCTCGTATTGATCACAGACTCCGGACAATGTGTTATTTAAATCCATTTTGTATTTTATCTTAACTTTTTGAGCTTTTTGCTAATATGTGCATTGTGTCACCATGGTTACTGCTGAACATTCCACTATTAGAGATACATACAGAACCCCCCCCCCCCCCCAGCTTCATCAATAGGCTTTCTTCACGCTTAGGTCACAAACCAAGATGTTTGGAAACATGCGAGGACAACTTCCGGTGGGTTTTGTTTGCAGTAGTAAGTCTGACATAATCTAGGAAAAATTTGAAAATGGCCCAGTTTTCTCGACATGTCATTGTAGATGTTATGTTCGGCTAATCAAGAATTACAACCATACCTCAGTTTTCATAATTTCCCCACTGACACACAACTCCGAGCGCACTGGGTACATGCAATTATAAGAGATAAAAGCATCAAATTCAAGATGATTCCAAACAGCACTTATGTATGCAGTCTTCATTTTACCGCTGATCACATTTACTTCAGTGGGTTTTGTCACAATCGACAGGTAACTACACCGGAAGTTGTCATCGCATCTTTCCAAATGTCTTCCTTGTTCTTGGCGTAAACATGAATAGAGCCTATACACAACAGCATAGCATTCTTGTTTTCCAATTTGATTTCCAATAGCTTTTCATACATGTGACTAAAATAAACATTGACAGCGATGAAATAAAACACTGAGGTCAAATCAGGGGTTCTCACTACTGACGAGGGCTGCGTATTTCATGGGTTGTAGCAGGATTTACAGCCTTCTGGGGAGCTGTTTTTGGCAGGCACAACCACTACAGTAAATGTTTACGGTGGTGAGTAAGTCTTCACAAAAGAGGGGGGAGGTGGAAGAGAGGGGAGCACACTGTAAATATGACTCATGTTTATTATCACACACATAGATTCCTTATGCCAAAAAGGATTGCCTCTTGCTGTTTTCCGTGTTGTGATGAATGCAATGATGTGAATGTATCCTTGCTTGCTTAAAATAAAGTGTAAATTCAACCAGGAAGACTATTTCTTACCTCAGCCAATCACAGGCTTCTTGCTTTGCTTCTCAACCAATCATCTTAAAAGCTATCCATGTATATAGTAAATGGAACTAAACAGCGATTCCCCATTCATTTTTCCCATAGACTTTCCAAAAAAACGTATATAAAATTTGACAGCTTGCTTGTATGTTTTGAGCAATAAAGCCAGCTCTAATTGAATAAATGTAAGGTAGAGCTGTTTACTGTCATACTGTGAAACATTTGAAGCAGAGCGATGACATATCCATGGAAACAAGAAGGTGACGGACCCAAGCCGAAAAGTCTACAGGAAAAATGATTGTGAGATTATTTCTGAAACCAGAGCACATTTCGAAGTGGGCAGGACTGTTGAGATCCATAAACTCTCTCCATGCATCCTGCTATCCTGCCCTTTCACCTTTTCTTCAACTCATATCCACCGCAGAAGCAAAATCATCAGCCACTTCAGCCTATCCTCCTTCCCATCAGTCTACACCATCTAAAATCTATTCTCTTCTCTATCTACTGGGGTCAAAGTTTATCTATCCAATCTATTACTTACGCCTTACTCATATCTGTATAGTCTTCCCTGGTTGAAGTACACACAATTTTGAAGCTCTTTATGTGAATGTAGGCAACTGTGTCTCATATTTTTCTCTCTTTTTCTCTCTTGCTGTCATTTCACCAGGAGGTAGAGGTCAGTTCACTTTTTCTTCTTTTTCAAATGTTGTCTTCACGTCTAATCTAATACCACATTCACATGACATTCAGCAGACAGGTACTGGCACATCCAAGATGGAAGGGGCAGAAACTGAATACTGGGAGTCCAATATCACATCACAAAAGCTAAATGAATCAGCAAATATGAAAGCTAAAAGTTAATAGTTTTGGAATAGTTTTGGTGTAGGCTATTTTGTAGGCTATTTTGTTGTAATGTTGTTTCCTCAACAGAAACATACCTGGAGTTGTGTTTTGTTCCATTCACACATGTTCAACACACAAACCCTGCATATTTTTACTCTCAATTCTTCTCTCAAACAGAAAACAGGTAATACAGGAAGTGCTCCACTGTGTTTTTAAACTCCATACAGCTACTCTAGAATCATTTTAGCTTAGAATTTCCCATCTCTATTGAACTAAAGGTAAAACGTAGCTGTTAACTTGAAAATTACGACTGCTGCAAGGTGGAACCGGTCATTTTGAGATTTGGAGATGTAGACAGACTAATAATGCAGGGTTACTCAAGCGTGTGAAAAAAAACAACACAACTCCAGGTATGTTTTTGAGGCGGTAACTACATTCTAACACGGGTTAAAGCTCAAATTAGTCAGTTTTGTGTAATATAAGACCTTTAAAAGTAGAAGTATTGGGGGTAACAGTATACATAGTTTATTAGTGTTAATTCAATGTGTAGTGCATCAGCTATTAATTAGGTTCACTATTCAAACAGTTAAAGCAGACATCAAGATTTAGCTAAGATGAGTTCATAAATGACTCTTATGTTACTCTTACTTAAAAGTTAGTTAGGATAGCCAACATGCTTCCAAACTGTAGCCCAAATGTTCCACACAAGGGATGGTAGTGGCACAGAGAGTTGAGTTATCACCCATTTACCAGAGAATTACTTGTTCTAAAACCAGATCTTACTGTATGTATATGATTCTACGTCATTATGTCCTCCAAAACACTTCTTATTGCGACACCAACACTATGTGGTTGCTACAAGAATGGCGTCTTGCATAAAAAATGCCGTTTATAGATACAAACAAACAAATCAAGTATTCTAACAACTCTAATGTTATCTCTGATTAGGCCCGTCATGATAATTACTATATTGTTCAATATACGACAGATAGAACAATGATTTTTGGGAGTCTGTATTTATTATGGGGACTTTTTCTTTGTACTAGTGGGGAACTTTTTGTTATTTTTCTGTTCCAAAATTAGACATGCAGAGCTGCAGTGGGATGAATAAATAGCTATGAGTCATTATAGATATAAACTAACTACTCAAATGTGTCATTCTGCTGTTTATTGATTGTAATTTGTGTTTTTCTAACACATTTAGAACTGTGTTTGGAGATAATTCTATTTTACTAGCAATACTACTATATCACACTTCAAAATTTGTTATCGTGACAGGCCTAATTTCCTCAATAGCCATTTTTGGCAACCGTGCCTTTAATTCCACTTGGATAATTTTAGCTGTACAACTCACTGTCTCAATCTCATGCGAATGTGGTATTACTTACTATGCAGTATCATCTCCACTCCCCGGTCCGTCCCTTCCGCCCTCTTTGTGCTTGTCTTTCAACTCTGCCATTTTAATTAGGGTGATAAATGTTCTAATTAAGTGCAAAAAAGAAGGCAGAGCACTCAAAAGGCTGCTCACCCCCCTGACACCATACGCCTGACACATCCAACGCTATAGGCTCATCTCCATAAAGACGCACGGCTCCTCTCTTTTACCGTCTGCTCGGGCTCATTACCATTTTGCAGCACTAATGTACACATTGTAATCAGTGTGCAATGATGATGTAAAGTGGCTAGCTTCTTCCAGGCAGGATGACAAAGAGACTGTCCTATAGCTGCACTGTTAGTAAAGGGATCGCTTAATTTGGAGGTAATGCTAACAGCTTTTCTCTTTGCTTTGTGTTCCTGCAGGATGATTATGTGCGTACCTGGGATGAAAACCAAGGCTCCAGTGACAGTAAGTTTGTGGATGTGTTTATATAACTGAGTCGTGCGCATAATTTAACGTTCATTAAAGGTGCATTGGTTAACTTTTTTGGCACATCTACCAAATGGCATTTAATTTAACTGTCTCCATGGAAACAAGCATCCCACATCGCCACGACAAATTACGAGTCAGATCTGTATAGAAGTGAGGGCCCAAAACTTAATAATGTGAGTTTTTTTGGTAGTTTTGAAAAATAAAAACACCCATAATTGAATAGATACAATATATATTTGTTTAATGCCATACTGTGGAACTTCTCAGGCAAAGCAATAACATTACCATGGAGATAAGCTGATACACCTTTAAATTAGATATTAGCATATTAACGAGGGATGACAAATGCCAGTGTCAAATTATCATTTTACTGAGGGAAAAAAATGTTCCAATTATCACTAATGTTTCGTGTACAACTGTAGCACCATAATAATTTTACTTATTTCATGTCAGACATTGCAAAATTATTATGTGAGTAGAATTTAAAGTTGTACTTTTTCCTCAACTGCTAACTTGTCACAGCTAATTTCTTTTCTTTTTCAGTTTCTTTCTCTTTGAAATTTTTGTTTAGTTTGATAGTTTGAGATCCCTTTATTCAGTTTTATTTTTTCTTTTCAAAAATGGAATAAAAATGGATTTCAGTATTGATTGCATGAACATGAACAAAAAACAACTCAATTTCTCCTTCCAAAGACTGGACGCTGCTCCAAATTACATGTTTTTACTGACAGAGGATTGCCTGTAGACCATTTCATTCACAATTTCACATGACATTTCACATTAAAGGCACTGTACCAGATTTTTAAAACTTCAAAACAACTAGTTTATTTTAAAGGTGTGTTGTGTATCTTTTTGGTTCGAGGACCATTACCTGTTTCTTTCTATTGATATGACATGGCTCTGATTGGAATGTTCCACTGTATGACATTAAACAGATCTACCTTATATTTATTCATTTACTAAAAATTCTTAGAAAAACAGGCATTCTGACTGTGAGTGGAGTCACCTCTCCACAGATCTGACCTGTAACTTGATCTGCTTTGGTCTCCATGAAGACAAAAAGGTTTAATGCCATACTGTAAAACATTCCAGACAGAGAATGACAGAAATGTTATCATTTCCATGGAGAAAAGCATTTGACGGACCCTCCACAAGAAAAGTTACACAGTGTACCTTTAAAAAGTTATTTATCAGTTATTTATGCATTCTGAGCATCCTAATTATTCACTGTAGTGAGTTTATAAGCCCTTTTCACAACCATCCGAGTCCAGAGCAGTTTTACAATGACAGAAATGCTAATAATAACTAGCATGCTAATGTGATTATTGGACAATATAATGCTCTCTAAGCACTGCATACAGACACCTCACAGCAAGCTTTTTTGACCTTCAGAGCTGCTTATACAATAAATCTGTACTGGGGCAAGAAACATTTAGCTCAAATTCATGAGAAAAATCAGATCAGGTACTGGCCCTTTAAAGGTGCATTGTATAACTTTTCTGGTGGTAGATCCGCCGCCTGCTTTTCTCCATGGAGATGTTATTGCTTTATCTGGAATAATTCACAGTATTGCATTAAATATTTTTATCATCATGGAGACCAAACCAGGCCAAGTTACAGGTCAGACCTGTGGAGAGGCGACCCCATCAGAATGTCTGTTTTTAGGTATTTTTCAGCTATAAAAACACATGTTGACTATTGACTAGGTGTTAGGTAGATCTATTTAATGTCATACTGTGGAACATTCCAGACAGAGCAATGACATTTCCATAGAAACAAGAATGTGACAGTCCCACTACGGAAAAGTTTCCATCATTTGTCTAATAATCCTCATTTGCCCTTCTTCTTACCTGTACCTTTCTATTCTCGCACTAAATTTCTCCATGATTTTCTCCTAAACCACTATAGCAGCTCAGGCCGAAGCTTTTTATATTTCTGTACCTCCTCCGTACACGTCCACACTATCTCATTCAGGCCTCTCTGACTTGTCCAAATTTTCCAACATGAGCTGTCACTTTGATCTTAGTTCATCCTTACTCCTTTTCGCCCTCTGCACTCCCACAAAGTACCTCTGAGCAAACTTCTGAATAGAGTTGAACTCTTTGAAGTACAAGTCTATAGGTACCAAAAAAGTGTGCAAGATGTTCGTAATTCTTTATTTGAACAAGAGGGTTTTATATGTATAATTGCCGGTTCAATCCTAGCTCCAACAAGTGTGTACTGCTGTTGTCTCCTTGGTCAAGACACTTCACCTACCTTGTGTGTGGTGGTCAGGTTTTTGGTGCCGATTGGCGGCCATGTCTTTGCCATTTAGCTCCAGGGCAGTTGTGGCTTGTGAGTTTACCTCTATACCAAGTGTGGATAATGAACGCATAATCCAGTGTAGTGACTTCAAGTATGAAAATTAATGTAACTTTTGTTTTTATTAGGCCTGCCAAATTGTCTTCTTTGTCTGAAATGTCCCATTGTTAAACTTATCTAGAATGTAGATGTTTGTATTGTTCAAAAATACCTTGAAAAACATGCTTTCTTTCTGTGGGCAAGGTCACTTCTCCACAGATCTGAGCTGTAAGTTGACCTGGTGGCATCTTCAAGGAGATACATATGTTTAATACCATACTATGGATACATTGTAGGTAAAGCAATTGCATTTCCATGGTGACAAGCAGTTATTACAATTACAAATCCTCAGTGTTTCCCACAGAAAACTGGTTAGGCAAGGAGGTGCTACCGAAATAGTGAGGAGCGGGGTTGGGGGGGGGGGCTTGAGGGTGCATGGAGAGGAAGTGTGGAACTGGGGTGCGCTTAGATTCCTTGCGACGACCGTAGTTTTGCGAGAATTCACATGGTTTGGAGGGACATAGTCAAGGCGGGGGCCACTTGTTATCAAGGCAGCCACCTTAACTATGAAGTGCTGCTGGAAACACTGTATCCTACAGAAAAGTTACACAGTGCACCTTTAGATAATATACAGTATGTTTATTGTGTGTGACTATGTGTTCACAACAGCAGTTTATATTATCCATCAGAAAAAATGGGTTCCTGAGTCTCTCTCTCTTAGCTCAGCACGATGTCTTAAAGGTGTAAATTGTGTAACTTTTCTGGTGGAGAGCTCGTTCACTACTTGTCTCCATGGAAATGTTATTGCTCTGTCTGGAATGTTCCACAGTATGACATTAAACAGCTCTACTTTCCATTTATTCAGTTACAGGTGGTTTTATAGCTCAAAAATGCCTCAAAAAACAGGCATTCTGACTGTAAGCGGGGTTGCCTCTCCACAGATTTGACCTGTAACTTCGTCTGCTTTGGTATGCATGAAGATACATAGAAAGGTTTAATACATACTGTGAAACATTTCAGAGAAAGCAATAAAATTTCCACAGAGGAAAGCATTTGACAGACCTTCCACCAGAAAATGTACACAGAGCACAACCTTTAATGTTTCTCAGTACATTCAGAAGTCTCCCTGACCTGTGTTTGAACCCGATCTCTGCTCAGCGCTGGTCCTCCTCTACATCAGACAACAGCATGTATGTTCTGTTTGTATTCGGGGTCAGCTGTTTCGTGTCCACACTTGTAGCTGCTCCGCAGTGAAAAGGCTGAGAGATGTTAGCGCTGTGCTTTATCTGCCTGAATGCATCTGATGTAGCTCCCGTAGGACATGCTAACATTGGCTCTCATCTCTTCTTCTGTGCTCTGGTTTTCTCTGTCGGGAGAGGTCTCTTCTTCTGCAGCCAACTCAGCCCTAATTGACCCCCAGTGTGTACGCGCCGAGTGAAAAATTTAATCATTAGAGCAGTTATAGTCAGTGGTGAGCTACTGTTTAAAGGGCCCATATTATGCTATTTTCTGATCTATGTTGTAATGTAGTTTCCTCAAAAACCTTCACTAGAATCATTTGAATAATCTCAGTCCTGGAATTTTCAATCTCTACTGAACTAAAGGTAAAAGGTAGTTGTTAACTTAAAAACTACCACTACATGACATCACAAGTTGGAACACAGCATTTTGAGCTTTGGAGATGTAGACAACTTAATATTAAAGTCTTACTCAAACATGTGTGACTGAAACAAAACACAACTCCAGATATAATTTTGATGCGGTAACAACATTATAACATAACTTAAAACATGCAAAAAACATTTTGCAAAATATAAGACTTTTAATAGTTAAAGTCCAATAATGGTGGGACATAGCAAAGAGCTTCATCTAGTTTAAGTTAGTATATATTTTATTTTATCATATATTATATTTGAAAGTATGTAGTGTATGGTGTAATGGGCTAAGCACATGCCCAGCATCCAGATGGTTGTAGGTTCCAACTTTCCGTACTTTCCGCAGGATTCCTCACAAAGATGCATGACACTTTTATTCAGCTGATTACAAACGTTTTGACTTTGTAATGTCACCTGGAGTAGCACAGTGACAGTGGCATTTGTAATGTGACTTATTCAGTTAGTGGCTCTAGTCCTTTTGAGATACTCTTAGACTGTGACTAATGGGGCAGCAAAAATGGTTGCTCTTGTCCACCAACCTGACAGATGGCAGTTTAAACACCCTGCTGAGACCAGTGCATTTTGTTGCTGTGCCCTTGGGCAAGACACTTCCCCCATCTTGTCTCCATCCTCCAATGTACATTGGTTTATGAGGTTGAGTTTGTTTGTGATTGTAGACAAATGGTGGATTTTAGCTCATACATTATGTAGTGTGTGTAGTGTGGCATGTGTGTCGTCTGTTATACATTCTCTGTATTCACAAAAAAACTAATAATATGGCTTTTTAATCAGTTAGCTTTGAGGTTAATAAAAGTGGAAAAAAAAAGCACACTGAGATGGCCGATGTTCAAAAGCTTTTTTTTTTTTTTTTTTTGAAATTATGTTTTAGCAAAAAAAAAAGCCTTTGTCAGATATTTTTCTACCATAGTATACAAAATGGTTGCCAGCCCAGGTGCTCACATACCCCTCCAACGAATGGGA